TTAGTTATATAATTTTTATTATTTGACTACAAACTATTTCTTGATAGAGGTAGATTGGTTAGCCTATAGAGGCTTTTCTCTTTGTTTTTCTTTTTTTATATTTCACTGTTTTCTCATTTGTCTTTATTTTTAATTTCCCTTTTGATTTTATGTTTTTTTTTTTAGTTTTAGTTTTCTTTTTGCTTCTTAATATTATTTATATATTGGTAATACAGAATTTTACTTTCTTGTGCTCTTGGTAAAGAAAAAAAATTAAAGGGATTAGTTCTTGATAGGCTGACAAGGTTACCTAATGTATATATGAGTTAGTGTGACAAGTCACATCTGGGCACAATATCTGTAGCTGGATAATACTGGGCTTATAATTGCAAAAGACATTTACTAGAAATAGGTTTTGTTTTTAAAACAGATTTCATTATGTAAATATTTGTATTAAAGCACCAACAAGACTATTAAAGAATAAATAATAAAAAAAAAAAATAGTGCTATTAGAACTTGAATTTTCTTTTTATATTTTTTCTTTTTTACAATTAGTACTTTTTTTTTTTTTCTGTTTTTTCTTTTTTTCTGGTTATTTTTATTAAATCTTTTATAAAAATTTTTTTTTTTATTTTGTATCTTTTAAGAAAAAAAAAGAATTAAAAAAAAAAAGTGGTTCTGACAAAGTATACAACAACCTGTTTATAATTGAGAAGAAATACTATTATCTAATACAAAATCTTAAGCAAGTTCAGAATTCTTAAGTAAACTAATAGTTGTTATAGCCTTAAGTAAGTATGTATAAAATATGCATAGACTAGTAAAAGTATGTAAAATAAATTTATCTGTAACTTGTTTAACTATATTGTTAAAATTTTGTTTAGCTGTTTAATATTAATAATCTAATTTTGATAATAAGGGTAGCTTTTAGATAATTAGTTATAAAAGAGGCAAAATTATCTTATAATTTCTAAGTCATGTGATCATAGTTATAGATTTTGTGGTTTTGTTATAGTTGTTTGTAAATTGGGGTGATATGCCAAAATGTGGTAATAATTTAATAGTCATTATTAGTAATAGCAAGGAGATTAGTAAACAAGAGAGTATAAAAGGCAAATGCTATTTCAGAGTTAATCCAGATATTGTTGATTTAATTGTAGAAGTAATTTTTGCTTCAAGTAGGGTTGGTAATATGATGGAATTGTAATAAACTTATCAATCCAGTATTAAAAAGATGATGAAGAAAGGGGTTGTGCTTATGGTAGTTGTTTCATTTGATATGGTAGTTAAAATCTCTTGCAATAATCAAGTTTATATTGCAAGACCGGCCATCTTGAGTCCAAGAGATCAATTGTTGTTGGGCAGTGCAAGTATGTGGTGTGATTTATAAAAAAAGGTATACCACTATAAGATGTGTTTATTGTTAGCTAGGAGGTAAAGGTCTATTAGAAGGGCAATACTAGGAAGCGAGTGTATTTTGTGTATATAAGGCTATAGAGTAGGTTTAAGTGCTATTGCAACTCCTTTGCTAGATTCCTGTGGTTGAGATATATATTTTTTTTAATAGATAAGATATATTTTAATCGAATTTAGAATGTCATAAGTCTTTATTAAATACTCGCATCTAAAACCACACTACTGTAGTTCTGACAAAAATATCATATATTCGAAATGCATCTCAAGATTGATAATCATTCCAACTCATTTTACTATTATATATATAGTTATACTCAAGTGGTATGTTCTATAACCGTTGTTGCAACAAATATTTGCTGTCTTTACCTAATAATTTTGGATTTACATATAGGCAGTGTTGTATATTTTAGATGTCTGAGCTATATATTTCGAACACAGACATTTTCAGACATTGTTCGATATCCGAGACTGAGTTATGTTCGAATAACTGGATTGTCACTCGGACAATGTTCGAGTAAAATATTTTGGACTCGAATATATTCAGACTTGGACATTGTCCAATATCTGAGTTTTGTATTATGAATTTTCAAACACCTACCTCAATATAATTGGCAAGTGATTGAGATAATGCTCAAATGCTACAATTTCTAAACAATTAGCGGCATTGAAAATTATAATCAACAAATCACAGTAAAAATTTATTTATAATATAAATTATAATGAATTATTAAAATATAAACCAGTATGAATCAGATGAAAATATTGAAATGGTTGATCTAAATCTTTAGCTTGTAAACATTTTAAAAATGCCTAGCTTATCTGAAGTAACTACTATTAAATCTAAAATATCTAACTTGTTTAAGTAACTGAATCTTATATAACATTCAACTTATCTGAAGCTCTACATTATCACAGTTATTAGCAAGATATGACACATTATTACTTAATCGCTCAAAAATTTATCGAATCGGCCAAACAATCATTCAGTCAATCTTTTACTAGATGTCCAAAATTTATGAGAATAGCTATAATACAACAACATATTTTGGTTACAATAATAGCTATATTCAACAATACCAAATTCTTAATAATAAAATAGATATATGACATATAAAAAAAACAATAATTTAAGCAATTAAAAGATATGTAGAAAATGTTTACATTAATTTTGGTTCTATTTGCTGTAAAAAGTTTCTACGTAATATGAAAAGCAGTATAATTTTTTTTAGCAGTGACCAAATTACCCAAATTATAAAAAAAAAAAACAATAAATGAGAGAACATGCATGATTGATTACTCTATCAATGCTAAACTTTAGCCAATTACCTAATTTATTTCTATGTATAATGAATGAACAATACTATGCAAGTCTGCTTGTCTACAAGATAATAATTGACACTTTTATATGTACATACATAAATAAGAATACTTCTTAGTGCACTATATTTCATATATTGCTATGAATTCTGTAGCCATGTGACTTGAAGTTGCCTGTGATTATGTGTTAGGTAGATGACTCTACATAATGTCAGATTAGTATGAGACTTTGAGAAGTGATGAAATAAATACATGCAGTTATTATGTATGCGAGTTAGACATGAATAGCCCAGATGGAATGGTTTGGCTTGGTTTTTGTTATGAATATGGGATTAGTGATGAAAAGAATGAATACAAGGCATTCATTCATTGTAAAAAATCTGTAGACATATAACTTTAATAGAATATATCAAGATGGTTATTGTTAGGATACCCAGACTTATCAAGTTTTAAGAGGAATATATAATATTAAAGAAGCTAGATATAAATAATCCAAATAGAATGTTCTGGCATAGTTATTGTTACAAATATGGGATTAATATTGAAAAGAATGAGAATAAGGCATTCATTCATTGTAAAAAAAAAAAAAAAATTTGTAGACATGAATAACTTTAATAAATGTATCTGGTTATTGTTAGTATACTCGAATTTATAAGATATCTAAAGTTGAAGAAGAATATGCAATATTAAAAGAGTTAGATATGAATAATCCAGATAGAATATTCTGGTGTGGTTATTATTACGAATATGGGATTGGTATTAAAAAGAATAAGAATAAGGCATTCATTCATTGTAAAAAAAAAAAAAAATTGTAGACATGAATAACTTTAATGAATATATCTGGTTATTGTTAATATACCCAAATTTATAAAATATCTAAAGTTGAAGAGGGATATGCAATATTAAAAGAGTTATACATGAATAATCTAGATGGAATGTTTTGGCATTACTATTGTTACGAATATGGGATTGGTGTTAAAAAGAATGTGAATAAGGTATTTATTCAATATAAAAAAACTGTAGACATAAATGATTTTAATGAAATATATCAAGTTTGTTATTGTTAGAATACCTGAATTTAGAAGATGTTTAAAGCTTGAAAAGAAATATGCATATTAAGAGTTAGACATAAATGATCCAGATAGAATATTTTGGCTTGGCCATTGTTACGAATATAAGAAAAGAATAAAACATTATTCATTGTAAAGATATAAATAACTTTAACAGAATGTATCAAATTAGTTGTTAGGATACCAGAATTTATAAAAAACGTTTAAAGTTTGAAGAGGATTATTGACTTTTTTTCTCATATTTTATATAATACAAAGTCTCATTATTCCTACCTTAAGAGCCAACATGTCAAATTTCAACTTTGCCATTATCAATATTGTTAACCCAACACATTATTAAAACTAATAAGAAATCTGATAAAAGTAATATTAAGGTATATTGCAAAGCATGTGTTGAGGCATTGGGTGAGAAAGATAGTAAAAAAGGAAGTTTTCCTAACAAGACGGATAGAATAGTTCATCATCTAAAAAATTGTGTACATTTTGTGAGAAAAACAACAGCAAAAAAATGAGCAGAAATTTTTGTGCTTTCTAATAATGAAGAGATTTCAAAACAAAAATGGCCTAGTAAATAAAATTTTATATTATTTTTTATTCACTTTACGCTACAGTATAAAAGTAATATATAAAATTTTTTCATAGCTTCACCTAATTTGATATATGACACAGCATCCAATTCTTCAAAACCTTCATATAAAATTGTATAGACCTCTTGATGATTATGCAGTTCGACCATTGTCAAAACAAGATAAAGAAACATTCAAAATTCTTTTGCTAAGATTAATAGTAACTTGTGGGTGGGCTCTCAGCTGGGTTAACAACCCTGAAGTAAAAGAATTGTTTCAATTTTTAAATCCCCAAATCAAGCTTCCAGACCATAGAATTCTTGGTGAATAAATTTTAAATGCAGCTATTTCTAAACAAAATAAAACAATGCTTAATGAACTTAGTCAAGATAAAATTGGTATTACATTGTCATTTGATGGGTGGACAAACATGAAAAATGAGCATTTATTAGGTATAATGGTTACTACTTTGGGAGGCAAACCACACATATGGAAAGCAATCGATATTAGTCTGGAAAGAGAATTATACATTGAAGTAATTGAAAAAACCAAAGAAATGATAGATGAGTTAAAAAATATGGAAGTAAAGATCTCAGCAGTTGTTACAGATAGTGCTGCACTGTATGCAGCAGCAAGATATGATTTTATAATAGACATTCTCAAGCTCAGTAGATCAGAGAATAAATTGATTAAATGATCAAGTTAATGCAAGTAATAGTTATTATTTTTAAATGAATTTGATCATTAAATATTATTTTTTACATTATATTTTAAGTTAAAAATAAATAATAATTTAATTGAGTGGGTTTGTGATAAATATAGATGCAAATCAGTTTTTTTGAGTTTTTATTGAGTTATACAAATTGTATAAAGATACTTATCATTTTATTAATCTATATTCTGCTAATGCTTGATGTTATCTTAATTGTTATCAACTATACTAGAATTATTCAATCTGCTATTTTGTATGTTATTCAAGATATGAATGCTGCCAAGCAAAAACTAATTTTTTTTATTTTGGATTTAATATTAGATGGAGATTAAGGCTTTCTGAAAGAAGTATGATATTTTTATCTTGCTTTGCTCACCAGATAAATTTATGCATTGGTGAAGTTTTTAAAGAATCTACCGAATTAAAAACAACAATAGATCGGGCAATTTGATTAGCTGCATATTTTAATAGTGCAAAAACAAATATTTTATTGCAAAGCTGCAAGATCAACAAAAATTAACTTACAATAAATATTATAGATAGTAGTGCTAGGGGAAACTTGATAGAATAGTTACTATTCAGTAGCAATCAGTTTTTTATGAAGTCAACAGGTATTGAAGATGTCAAAATATATTACTTGGCCTTTATAATAATTTTAAAATTTTTTCTTTAATAAAAAATTATTTTTAGTATTTAACAAATATTATTAAAGTTAAATTCCTCTTATGCATTTTTAGATTCTTGCGATAAACCACCAACCACTACTAGTCCAAACTCGATAGCGAATAAGAGAAAATCTAACTATAAGTCAAGATATCTTTGAAATTATTGAAGCTAGTTCTTTTTGGACAAACTTAATGACAATTGCAGATATTTTGTACCCATATTGTAAAATATTAAATATTTTACAGCATGATAATGCAAGATTAATCTATAATGTATAGTTTTGTATATTTGGTCCAATTTTAGAATAATTATAAGAATCAACAACTTGCTAAAAAAATTTTAACATGATTATGTAAAAGGTGGAAAAGCTGGGAACAACTGCTTTTAATTTTATCATGCATGTTGTATCCAAAGTATTGAATTATCTATTTTAAAGATAAATCAATAATAAATTATGCATGACTAGGCAAATATTTAATTTATTATTATAAAGCCTGGTCTGGAAAAAAACACACCTGTATTCTGCGTGAATTTAACAATTTTTCAATGAAAATTTATCTATTTGATGATAAGACATATAACCATTTAATGATATTTGGAAATATTGGGAGTTTGTTACATCTTTAACAAAGGAATTAGAAATAGTGGCTTGCAGACTATATAGAATATGTGTCAATATAGCTGCTGTTGAACGTCTTTGAAGCTGTATGGGATTTTTGCAAACAAATCGAAGAAATCGATTAGCAGTAATTTGTTTTTTTTTTATTTTTCTAATAATCACAATACTTTGTAGTTAATTTTTTATATTGATCACCTGATTTTTATTTTATTAATTAATAATCAATTTTTTTTTTCTTACATCGCATTATTATTATATATATATATATATATATTTTTTTTAGTCATCAAAAGCTCTTGATATGTCTAAATTGAAAGCAAAGATAACATAGAGTTATCGTCAAAAGTCAGATTTCACTGAATTACCTCCTCCAACTTTTCATGAAGTAAATGTGCAGGATCAAACTAATGAAGATAATGAATCTTGTGAAATTGAACACGAATTTGAATCTGGAAATGAAACAAGAATTGAAACTGAATCTAAAGAACCTGAAGAACCTAAATTTGAAGAACCTGAAGAACCTGAGAATGCAAGTGACGATTTTGCCCCTATTGAAGACTTGGACGAAGAAAAAATAGTAGACTCAAGTTCCTTGGAGACTGAATTTAGCCAATTTTTAAATGTATAGGTAGAAATATCAGCAGATGAGACTAAAGAAGTGATAGATATAGAAGATGAGGATGAAAAAATTTTATCAGTTAATGCTACTGTTCATCCAGCAGTCAACTCTAATGCTAAATGGGATTTGATTACACTTTTTAATGAATTAGAATTGCCATAATTATACTTGTTCAATTTTATGATTTTAATAATTTATATATTTTATTTACAAGTCATAAATTGCATGCAGATGTATTTGGTTTTACAAAGCTGGTTGTAAAATAGGCACTATAACAAATATTTTTTATCTTGTCAAAAAGTTTTGCCTATTTTATTTAAATATAAAATAGTATATATCTATATACTTTTGTCTCTTAATCACAATGACTTTCTATTTATTAATGAAAAAAAAAATCAGTTTTAAAAGAATGTGGAATAATTATAGATTCTTCTGATACTTTATTTAATTATGCAAGATTTTTGAAAGTTCTCGATTGATTTAATTAGTTTTTAAATTAATTCACAAAATTCAGGCCTGTCAAATAATTGATTGTGATGGCAATATATGAGCGAAAATTTATAGTTAGAACATTGTGATTATTTAAAATGATTATAAGTAAACTGATAAGTAACTTATAAGTAACTCAAAGAATTGATTAAAATATCACTTTTAACAATAGTCACGCCAAATCTTGCATATAATTGGTCCAAAATTTTTTTATTCATAATAAAAACTGTAGAAATTGGATATTTTTATCTATATGATTAATTGCAATTTTTTTGAACTCAATTAATTGATTGGTAGTGCAGCCACAATAGGACAATTAATTGCGACTGTATACAGTGCTCTATATGAAATTTAAAAGAACCTAAGTTGATTCTAAATATGATATTGTAAAGTAGTAATAGTTAAAATGAATTATGTGTTATAATAAATTATTAATTGTTGTCGCGGATGATAGTGAAATCGGATAATCGTGAAATCTACGTGACCCGGGACCCCAGGCCTCATCATGTCACACATGAAAGATTCTGAATATCATGTAACATGATCATCATCAAAAAAAACACCCATCTATCACTATAGAGTGGCCCACCGCCATAGCTCTTCTAATTGCTTGCACCAGAATTTCAAGACCACATATGTATATACACTATATACTGTATTTGTACGAAATGAAAAAGCCAAAAAAACTGGAAGCGCTGCCACCACCTACAAGGAAACGACGCCCAACCAAAAAAAAACCTTTTTACTTTGTCAAGGTTTTTTTTTTTTTTTTTTTTTTTTTTTTTTAATTATGCCACCAATTCCAAAAATCCCAGAAACAGCTGAAAAGTACCAAACAATCGTCGAGTATTTCTGGTCAGGAACTGTGTCTGCTGATATTCAAAAAAACCTGACCGCAAAATCCAACTTTATCCATCGCTGCAAAAATTTTGAAGTTAACGAGAATAATGTTCTTTACACTAAGCCAGTTGTAAAGAATGGAGTGGCCAAGTCAGAAAAATGCCGTATAGTTCTAAAATATGACGTAGGAATGCGTGCTCTAATGCTAGAACGTTTTCATGATCAAGTGAACCACCAGGAATACCATAAAACTTTCGCTGCGATCTTGGAAAAGCACGTTGGAATCACCCAAAAAGAAGTGAAGGCATATGTAAATGAGTGTGCCACTTGTAATATAAATGCTTTCATCAAAGAAAAAACTGACGTAATCTCTGTAGTATTGTTGGGACCATAGGAACATGTTCAAATCGACCTAGTCGATTTCCGTGATTTTGTTGAAATAAATGACGGTTATTCATGATTGCTTATATGTGTCTGTGTATTTTCCAAGTTTCTGGTTGCTGTCCCAATAAAAAACAAAGAAGCAAACACAGTCACAACACACCTTCTCAAAGATATTTTTAAGGTTCTTGGGCCTCCTGTGGTCCTTCAAAGTGACAATGGTAAGGAATTTGTCGCAGGAATAATTACACAAATCTGTAGGGCCCTTAACATTACGATTAGGCATGGCAGGCCTCATCACCCTCAATCGCAAGGTCAAGTCGAGCGACTTAACCAAACTGTGGGCCATGGTTTCACTAAGTTACTTTGGGACCAAAGTAACCAACTTCAAAAAAAGGATTGGATAAATGTAATCAACACATTTGTCATATCATATAACTCAACAGTTCACACGACGCATAGTTGTACACCGCACAAAGCAATTTTTGGGTAGAAAATGCACTGTGTCTATGACACTTCTGGCACAATTGGTTAGTTTTAGGGTTGGGTTTAGGGTTAAGGTTAGGGTTGGGTTGGATTATGTTAAGATTAGATTAGGGTTGGGTTGGATTGGGTTATGTTAAGATTAGATTAGGGTTGGGTTGGGTTGGGTTATATTAAGGTTAGCGTTGGGTTATATTAAGATTAGGGTTGGGTTATGTTAAGGTTAGATTAGGGTTGGGTTATATTAAGGATAGGTTATGTTGAGGTTAGAGTTGGGTTATGTTAAGGTTAAGGTTGGGTTATGTTAACATATGACTTTATAAACAGGTGCCCTTGAGGATAACGAGATCATTACAGAAGCCGAAACTACTATAGAGACTGCTACCAAAATCACTACCGAAACCACCACCAAAGCTGTTGCCCCCGGAACCACCACTGCCAAAGCTGTTGTCCCCAGAACCACCACCACCAACTCTGCTACCTCTGAAACTACCACTACCAAAGCTGTTGCCTCCGGATTCACCACCGCCCAAACTGCTACCTCCGAAACCACCTCTCAGATTGTCATGTCTAATGCTGCTATAGAGCAACATATTTCACGAATATTGGAAGTTCGGCAGTCTATAAATGCTTCCCTAGAAAAGTATCATGCAAGAATATATCGACAGGGTAGTGTACATAGAAAAAAACAGCTAATAATAGAATTGAAGCTGGAACCTCAATTGTCATTACACCAGATCACGATATGAATAAACAAACTCGAAAAAGAAAGTTGCAACCAACTTTTTCTCAACAAGGCGTATTCAAATCGCTTATATCTTACAATCAAACTGCGATTGTTAAAATGAATGGTGAAGACGTCCAGGTTTTTGTAAAGCGAATCAAGGCTATACGAAAGAAGTCATGATCTATTGTGGCAACATCATGGATAGGGGTTTTTTTTTTAAAAAAAAAAATGATTTTTTTTTTTTTTTAAAAGGCGATTTTTTTTTCTTTTTTTTAAATAAGCAATTTTTTTTTTTGAGGCCGTTTTTTTTTTTTCTTAAAGGTGATTTTCTTCCTTTTTTTTAAAAAAAAGTTGATTTTTTTCTTAAAGTTGATTTTTTTTATTTTAAGAGTGATTGTTTTTTTTTTCTTTTTTTTTTTAGGATTTTTAAGATACGATTTTTTTCTATTTTTTTTATTTAAAAAGCAATTTAAGGCGTTTTTTTCCTTTTTAAAGGACGATTTTCTTTAAATTAAAGGTTTTTTAATGAAAAAGGGTGATTTTTAAGGATTTTTTTAAGAGACTTTTTTTGTTGCCGGGCTGATGTTTGGTGTATGAAAAATCCGTGTATAGCAGAAAGTTTTAATTCTAATAAAATAGTTGCATGTAAAGCTATAGGGTTTCGCAATATGTAAATTATATATATGACGCTTATAAATTCGGGATTTTTAGGAATATCGTATGCGTCACGTGATGATGAGGCCTGGGTTCCGGGTCACGTGGATTTCACGATCATCCGATTTCACCATCATCCGCGACAATTATTAAATATTTAAATATATATATATATATATATATTTTTTATTATTATTATTATTATTTCGCTTATTCATTCTTTATGATTATTTTGACCCAAAAATGACTGACTATCCGTTCTTATCTCATAATGCATTTGACGACTTACTTTTCAAATATCTTGACAGCAAGTCAGTTAATAGACAACGTAAAACCTTATTACATGTGATTCTAGCAAATACAATGCAAAGGATCGTTATTGGGCAAAAAAAAAATATTTGCTATACGTGATTTTGGAACACCAACAGACTCTAGAATTCAACTTATCAAAGTTGATTCAAACTTACCTGTGTTTCCCGTCTACAAGATATATGAAGTATTATGTAGATGCCATTTTAAAAATTCTAAATGCAAAAACATTATGTAGACTTTAAGACAATAATTTAGTTTTCGTCTCATCCTTTATATCCAATTTTTAATGTGATAACTGCCCTTCGTAAACTTTATCTTAAAATAACTTAAGTTCTAAAATAACTTAATTCGATGAATTGATTTAGAATTTATTTATTTTTGTTTAAGTTGAATTAGAATTTGGAATTCTATTACAACCTATGTGTATTCGGAATCAACTTAAGTGGATTCTAAACCCACTACGATTCTGTTCTCACGTACGAAATATATACACGTGACAAATTGATTAAATATAATTGGTCTGATAATTTGATATTTGTCCGGCGGACAAATTTAATTGTCCGAGTCCGAGTCCGGTCCGAGTCCGGTCCGAGTGACAACACTGCGTATAGGTGAAATAATGATTGAAGTCTCACCCCTTTCTACATCATTTTGAATTAATACAGCTTCAGTCATATTAATAGTATAAAACTATATTTGTCAAGAAAAGAAGAATTCGCGAGTCTTTCATTAATATTTTCGTCACAGATTTTTTTTTTTGCAAATATACATCAATTATCAATTAAATAATCATAATTTGTATAGTTATTAGTTCCAATTAAAAGATTACGGAGTATATTTAAATGTGGTCATATATGTTGAGAATTTGATTTAAAATTACAAGTTTTTATTTGGAAAACCAATAATATAAATTGTACTAATAAGTTATTTATTCAGACCTTCAAGCAATGGTCTGATCTTTAAATAAACCTCATCAGGACTTTCAGTACAAGGTATCTAAACATGACGAAACCAATAAATAGTGATAAGATATAAAATTGAACAAACATTCTCGTATAGTTTGGACTTTAAAATACCCACCCTATGAACTTTTTCTTTTTCTCCAAAATATTCGATTACGGGTAAACTCTCCTCTTCAAAAACTTTGAATCGTTTTTCAATTGTTTCAATATTGTCATCAATTCGACCGCTAGTTTCTCCACGCTTCAAGAGACGTTGTTTCATAACTTCTTTATCACAATCAAGAAAAAGAATGAAATGTGGCTCTACTACCTTTTTATTAATAAATTGAAAGAAAAAGGTTAACTTTGCTTAAGGACAGCTTTTTATCCATAACTAGCATCACATAATGCTACGAAATTCTGAAAGACAAAGGACATAATACCGACAAAGTTAGCCGGCATTAGTCGTAATGCTGGCCGATTTAGTCGGTTTTAGGGAAAATGGCCTTCGGGATTTCGTTGTAGAACCGCAGAAATTAGAATCAAAGAACATAAAACAGTGACGTATGGACGTCATTACTTCACTATCAAGATTCCAAATGTCTGCACCTGTAGTGATGCGATAGTGCTCATGTGACCGACATCACTACCCAAACGTTAACTCTTTCGCTAATGCTGACGTTATAGTCATGTGACCAAACCTGGAATGCCATTGGTACAAGTGTCACGCCACTAATGCACCTTTATAAGTTTATAATACTGCGTCAATGGAATGCCACTTGCGCCAACCACCCTACATGCCATATAATGGATTTATTTACATTTTTACAGAAAAACTCAGCCTGATCAAGTTTTCGTGGAAATCCATCTATTAAAAATATATTTGATTTGCTTTCTTGCATTTTCTTCGAAATCAATTTAACAGTAATTTCCGTAGGCACGATTTTGCCTTCTTTAATATATGTTTTTATCAAGTCACCGTCTTTAGAATTCGGATTTTGTTGCTCCTCTCGAAGCAAATCTCCGGCTTTTAAATATCAATAATATTATTATTGCTATTACAATAAAATTCCTAATCATGACCAATAAATGAAAAAAAAAAAAACACACCGGACAAATGAACAAATCCAAAATCTTTGACTATTTTATTGCATTGCGTTCCTTTACCAGAGCCAGGTCCACCTACATGGCAAAATATGAATATAACCAGTAAATACATTGATGCAAAAAATTTAGCAATAAACGAACTATAAACAATTACCCAGCACAAAAATTACGATAGTGCCCTCGGGAGCCTTTACAATTTCACTCATCTTTTTCTTCAATTTATATGCAAATTAAATTAATAGTCAACAGAAATAAGGTTGACAAGATAAATTATAATTACCTTTTTTAAGAAAAAGGTATCTTTTCTGTTCTGTGTAGTAGCGCTTCTTTATTTCGTTCTCTTATGAAATATAGAAACACAAAATGCACTTTTTATTGGTTAGTTTTTTATGATTGAATATGATTGGCTAATTATTAAACTCCTGTCTATACCTGTCATACGTACTTTTCTGCTCTGCTGGGTTATAAATCATGTGATATCACGGAGATTTTATCGATAAGTATATACTATTTATTTCCCGCAACGGCGGGAATAAGAGGTACATCCCCGGTCATCTGGGGCCCAGCGGGATGGAGATCTACCGGGTTATTTCCCCGTAGCGGCGAAATAAGGGTATTATTCTTCGTTTTTATATGATGTCATGACGGGCTTTACGACTCATAATCACTACTTTGATCAATAAAAAAAATC